AAGAATAGCCTTGTTCCTGACAAATGACACTTAAATTTCTTCATCATCATCATTTTTTTTTTTTTTTTCTATTTGAAGTATATCCATACAAACAATGATGTTTATTATGGTGTTCTATTCATGACTCCTTGTAGATTTAAAATCTTCATCTCTTGCCTAATTTGTGATACTATAACTTGGGTATATTATCTAAAGGGACCAGACCCTGGAGAAGGATATTTTTATTGGTAAAGTAGGGAGTCAGTGAAAAAGAGGAAGGACTCATGAGACACACTGACAAAGTGATTGCAACAAGGAGCTCAAACAAAACTACGAGCATAACATTCTATGAGGATAATGCAGAACCAGAAATGTTTTCCTTCTGTTGTGCGCAAGGCCACTATGAGTCAGAATCAACTCTACAGCTCACAAAAGCAACAATATAACTTTTCAATAGAAAGCTCTGTTGTTGTTGAAGTGTATGTTGTTGTGTGTCCTAGACTGAGTTTAGACACATAGGAACCTTGTGTGGAGTTTCCAAGAGTGCCTGGTGGGTTTGAACTACCAATCTTTTAATTTGTAATATGTGCTTATCTTACAATGTCAGACTAGGGCTCCATATATTTGTGTATTTTAGAGTAAAGCAACAATGGGTCTGAACTCTGGGTTTTCTACTTATTCACTGTGCAAACTTGGCCAAATGACTGAATTTATGAGGAGTCCTGGTTTGGCTCTGTAGGCTGTCCTGAACTGTAAGGTCAGTTTTTACTGCAAGGTTGATGGTTCTGTCTAACTAGCCACTTCTCAGAAACCCTATACAGGGTCATTATGAGTTGGAACTGACTTAACAGCAATTAAAAACAACAATTTATTCACAGTACTTTTAATATTATTTTCTAAAACCATAACTCAAATGCATCAATTTCCCCTGTCTTCCTTATTCATTGTCCAACTTTCACATGTAAAAGCAGCTACTGAAAATACCATGACTTGGGGAAGGCTCGACTTAGTCCTCAAAGTGATTTATTTGCTCTTGAACTCTTTAAAGAAGTCTTGTGAGCAGATTTGCCTAAACATTAAAAGTACCATGGACTTCTAGAAGAACAAAAAAATCTGTGTTGAAGGAAGTACAGGCAGAATGATCCTTAGAAGCCAGGATAGCGAGACTTGATTCTCATAATTTCCTGGATAGAAAGACAATATGCTTCGTAAAGTGGAAGGTCATAAAAATAGAAGACGATCCCAACAAGAGGGATTTGGCACAGTGGCAGCAGCAATGGGCTCAAGTGTAGCAACAGTTGAGAGTATGGTGCAAGGCTGGACAATGTTTCATTCTGTTGTGCATAAGGTCGCTTTGAGTTGAAACTGACTTGACAACACCTCACAACGGCAAAAACAGTTTCTTCATGAGGACCTCTGCACAGTGGATAAAGTGCTCAGTTGTAATAGGAAGCTTGATGCTTTGAACTCACCATTCATTTTGTCTCCTTAAAGATTTCAGCCTTGGAAATTTTATGGGACAGTTCTGCTCTGTCTTCTTGTTGTTGTTATTATTGTTAAGTTGAGTTGGTTCTGATCCATAGCTACCCTGTATATGGTTTCTGAGGAGTGACTGGTGAACTTGAACCTCCAACCTTGCAGTTCAAATGGCTTTACAGTCTGGTGCATTAACCCATAGTGCCACACCAGGACTCCCTGCTCTGTCTTGGTGGTGGTGGTGGTTATGTGCCGCGGAGTCGGTTCCAATTCTCAGAGACCCTGTACAGGGTTTTCAAAGCTTTAAATCTTTATGGGAGCAAAAAGCCTCATCTTTCTCCCATGGAACAGCTGGTAATTTCGAACTGCTGACCTTGCGGTTCGCAGCCTGATTCATAACCACTATGCTACCAGAGCTCTATCTTAGAAGGTATCTATTAGTTGGAATTGACTCAATGGTACTAGGTTTGGGCTTGATTTCAATTTCATCATCAGAAC